ATCCCAACTTCCATGACAGCCGATCATCGACAACGGTATGTGTGAGCGAATTCATATCATTATTTCCATGGGCAAATTCATTCGTACCCATTCACCTTGGTGCCTCGCAGTATATGGACAGCTCAGCGATGAAATGGGTGGACACACCGCGCAATCATATTTCACGTAGAAATGGAAATGCTTGAAAGCATACGTGCCAACCACCATGATCACTCGTGCATGCCGAGCCCAGGTGGCACCAGGTGAGTTCTGCGAATATACCCCCCAGCATGCGGTTAGCTTCAGTGTAGCCAATCATACTTGAACACGAGTGTCGATCGCGACTAGGCACCCACCAATTCGCAGGTGATCTGCGCCATACCCAAGCCTTCTCTGGTAACTCATGTCGTAAACTCGTCTGATATGCTATTGGTTGACTTGGGATTGGTCACCCAACGAGGGGCGCGCTTTGATGCTTTCGTGCCAGCTGGATGATATTTGATTGCGTTAAGGACGATTCTGAAAGATATATGGACGAGCCTATTTCCGTAAGACTGCGTTTGAAAACGTTATAGATGCAATTGGCTGAAAAATTGGGTACACAGCTGGTTCGGGTACACCGATTACCGGTGGTAGCAGAATGCGAATACAGTTTTCGTTGTAACTCAAATCAGACTATTCTGACACTCCTTTTCTTACATTGGCCTTGCTCTATCCTAGCCAGCATTGGATGAGCTTTGGCATTAACATTTCCAATCCGTCATCGCACGGATGCGGACGTGCTCACGCGTATGTCCGGCCTGCACCCCTCTGCCTCATAGAAGCCTACATCTTTTTCTGTACCCAAATCCCATACGCAATTGCCTTACGGCGGCTGACCGATGAGATAGCTACACAACCTTCTCCGACTGCAAATACGCCCAGTGCAATCGGGCCTATGGACGCACCAACGTGAATGATTAACAAATTATTATGATTGGTCAAAAAACCTACCTCATTGCACTATTCATAAATCGAGGTAATATTGCCCTTATCAACCATTCCGCTAAGCGACTTACTGGCTCCCGCAGCGTGAAAAGAATGGTCCGGCCGTTTATGAATATGGTAGTGCTTGGATATCATAATCGATAGATCTAAAACGCATGCTGCCTGAGGCTTTCGAACGATGTACAACAAACAAGCGAAGCTTAGAATGAAGGGAACAAGACAATCTTGGAAGATACATGGAACCGATCGAAAATAGTTGAAAGAAACTAGACAAAATTTGGAGACCGGTCCGTACTGAGTATTTGTTGCTAAGACCGTGACGACAGTAATGAACGGAGGTTGGTAACTATTTAAGAACCGTGAAGAACGGTTTAGGAGCAGGTTAGCGATACAGTCTATACCCAAAACCGACGTCAGAGGTTTATGGCTCTCTAAAAGTTCACAAAATGGAAATTCCCGTACGGCCCATAGTCGACGGTATAAGGTCCCCGACCCATGAACTCGCAAGATATTTGGCAGGGCTATTGCAACCTCTGAAAGGGCGAATGAGTACATTCGTGAAGAACTCTTATGATTTCGCTCAAAAGATAGCGTCTCGAAATCGAGCCAGGTGAGCTGATGGTAAGCTTCGAATGAAGATGTCACTGAGTGATCGAACAAAAGTTACGGTTAACCAGATAATCGGGGGTATGGCAGTGTCTTTCCAGTCCTTAATTTCTTTTTCCATCGCCATGTGATCATCAACATCCCCTGTACTGGCGAACTTGTATATGGAAGACGGAGAACAGGGCGTTAACAAGCGCCAATAACTCACCGAAAGTTTGGTGGCGCTATGTAGACGACACCTTTGTACTAGTTAAACGGAATAAAATGGACCAGTTGCTTGGTCATTTAAGCTGCATTGTTGAGCGAATGCATTTTCCTATTTAGTTGGAATATTGTAACGGTACAATAACATTTCTTGACCGCTTGGTTCATTGGAATGGGGGAAATTGTAAGACGACAAGCTCACAACAAGCCCACAGATACTGACGGCCTACTCCACTACATTTCGGGTCACCCAAAACAGGTTTACGACAGGATAGCCCCACTGCTGTTCTACAGGGCGCAAACCCTGTGCACGATGAGGGAGGACTAAAAGGTCGCGCGGAAATTGACAATGGACAAAGTATTGGGTAATGGTTACCCATTGCTGCTAGTCAAACGCCAGTGACATAAAGTGCTAAAACCGACAGTCAAGACTCACAAATTAGTGGATAGGGACGGTAGGAATTCCGTACATGGAAGGCACTTCGGAGGTACTTCGGAGGGTAATAAACCAGGAAAATACGAGGGTGATCTTCAAGCCAGGTCAGACGCTACGTTCAGCGCTGATGCACCTGATTACCTATGTTTATAAAATTAAATATAAGGACTGTACACATGTGTACATCGGCCAAACAACGAGAGAATTACGCACATGAATTTCAAGACCACCGACAAACGGGTTTCTATACCAGGCAATATTAAGCGACTCGGCCGTGGCTGTGCATGCATTAGACAAGGGTCACCAGATCGACTTAGATAACCTAGAGGTCATTAGGTGGGGTATACGATCAACTCCCAGCGGTTGATTGCTGACGCGTTGGAACTTACCAAATCGCACAGCCATGTGAATAGAGTGGAGGGGATAGAACTCGCTAGTGTGAGGCGAACGATCGAGCCAGCCGGCCAGCATGACGAGCGTCGGTGCATGAATCCGATTGGAAAGTGCAACTCGGCTCTCATTGTCACCACTATGGGCTTATTCGTCAAGGTTATGACGCACAAAGAAACATCTGGACTAATCCTACAGTGACTGGACCATCTGAGGCGACATCACGAACTGTGACAAATGACACCTTGGCTCAAGTTATCGTCGCTGTTCGTTACAAAATGCCACTCCTATTACACACTGATTCACCTGGTCTAACGAAGCTTTTGTGTCAAGGGCGAAAGGTTACCAAACAACTATACCAACCGATTATTTCCATACCTCTCTGAACCTTTGCATCAGACAATATTTAAACTGAATGTTGGGATTTTTCATACATTGAAAGTCTATGAGGGGAGGGCCAGGTTCCATAACAAATGATACTCTTGTCTCTACTGCAAAGTCCCTTTGAGAGGAATAATTCACAAGAGTCAAGAATTGAAGGTGCATGCCCAATTAGTCACTTTAGATAAATAACTCTTAATCTTAATGGAACTTTCGGAGTTAAGCATTCAAAATACTACCTGGGAATAAACTACTCAACACTACTCCGGTGTCAAAGGTAAATAAATGCTGGGGTCCTTTACTGACAACAAATCTCTATCGTGTAAGAAAGTCACAAAAACTCGTGACAAGTGATACTGAAGAAAATTCAAGTGATAGTGTTTGTTTATGTGGCGTTACTTGAACTAAACGAGCTTTCGAAATATGACCTACTGACTGATGACTCTCTTACCACATATATGACAATTGTAGTTACGGAACATGTACGTCAGTCACGAATGTTTATTACCACATGACTTGCAACTGTTTCAGTGTTCACTACTGTTCTCCTTGTATGTAGCTGAGGTTTTAAATTGCTGCGTTTTCCCGTAACTAGGCTTCAGTTTGCCACTGGTATTGTAGCATAGTGGAGATTCTTTCATTACTGCTGCTTGCATATCTTGGTACTAGTCACAGACGGCTCTAACCGACTGCAAAGTAGGCTTAAGCAAAAGAACTAACTTTTGTTGTAAGTTTGGCGAGTTTCATCCAGCTTTCAAACAGTCACGAAGTTGAGTCTGCAAATGAGCACCAAAACCGCAGCGTGCGGTTAGCGTTTGTAGTTGTAAGATAAAAACGCATATATCTTGGTCACATTTGTGTATAATGATGTGAAATTTCTCCCATGCTGTTGTTTCGAAATATGCTGATTGGTTTTTATGCAATAACACCCTTTCAGCGCACCATATTGTAAAGAACTCAGCGCAACAGGAAAAGCTAACTTCTTCTCAATGTTATAAACTTCCTGTCCAACAGTAGTAAAGAAAGGAGCGGACTTTTTCTAATACATCACATCATTTTTGATAATGCACAAGCTCTCAAGACGTTCCATGTAGTTCTCGATATCGCTAGAGCTGTAATGCGTAGTTGGTTTATCCAGCTTGCGCAGGTTCATGGTAAAGTGTTTGTCCGTGTCGCCAATTATGGCATGGTAAGAAATAGTAGAAATCAGAATCAGACTAATCGGACTTGAAATAGACTTACTTCGGATCCATAACTAACGTCAGCACGGAAGTAATAATGCACTGTGAGCGCACGTGGAAATCGTAGTAATCAAATCAAAATTGTACTGACTAAATCGGTACAGTAAAAGAAATACAACGATACGTCGTTCAGGAACAACCACCACAGCTTCGTAGGGAATTAGCTCCAATGTAGCATCTTTGCTGAGCTGCAGTCTCGAATGCGCTTAGATGCTCCACCCACCAGTGCACGATCGTTCTGCACTGGGCCCCAAGATGCCGCCGGTTTGTCTGAGTACTGGAGTTACCTAGCATACCATTCGGCGTACTCGTCTGACGTGCGGTTGACTGATTTGGGAACAGTCACTCAAATAACATTACGGATTTCTGGGTGTTCGCGTCTATTGCATGCAATTTGATAATGGCAAGGGATCAATGGCGGAATATGATTTCCTTAGGGAGGAATTTCATTTCGTTATGGATGCAGTTGGCGATGAAAAGTTTTAACTATCACAGTAGCCGAACTGCGTGAACTTCTGAAGTGTCGTTGTGTATAACTTGCTCTAGAGCTCAATAAGGTCAGGTTTAACAAAATATGAGGACAAATATTGACTGCATGCTGTTCATTATTATGTGGCCGGTGTCCAGGATTATTTGAGGAGGAGCCTCAAAACCACCTCAAAATATAGCATATTGGATGTCGATGACTGAGGATCGAATTGCTGAATTGCACTTTCTCGTGAGGCGCGGATAACTATACGCTGCAAGTACTAATGCTCGGTTTCTTAAATCTTCAGTGGACTTGCTCAAGCCGAAAAAGGGACCTGGACGGATGGAATTCAACCCTTACCTCCCAAAGACTTTGACCCCAAAAGGCCAGGCCAAGGTAAGTTCGAAACCATATTTCCAGGAAAAGTTTGTTCAATCTCCAAACAGGTTGTCAAAATGAAATCTTAGGCATGATTCGATCTAACTTTCTACCTGACTTCAAGGAACACTAATCACTTTGTGTTCAGAATTAGACAAAGTGGAAATGTCGGTAATTTGAAACTTGGTCTTTAAGAGGACGAATTAGTTTTAGCCTTTGATCAGTTTGAAAGTATCTGCTATAATCTCTGTCATGTGTGTTCAGCCGTTGCCCGTTCCCCTATCTGAAAACCTGAGAATTCACTAAATGGATAGGCAGAAATTCGTCACATCTAGTCTCATGCAGACAGCCACTACACGCCCATAAAAGCGCTGTACACGTGTTTCATCCCTTCGGGAATCGTCAGCAGCGCACCTTCCATCCGACTCTGTTAGGGCTCGAACCCGTAACTCGACTGTTGTTAGTCTATGGTTGAGACCACTGAGCTACAGGGGATAGTAACAACCTTCGTGAACAAATTACTGGATGTGATATAGCATCGCTTACTGCCTACTGACTAGCAAGTCACTGCCGTGCAGAGGACAGGGAACCCCCTCACCTAGCGACGAACTTTCCAAACTTAAGCCGCCAATTAACTTATGGCATTATAAGCAGTTTGGGCTGCGTACTGCTTACATTATTCTTAGTTCGTTTGATGCCCACGGATCACTGCGGTGCGCTGTCGACTGACATTCTTACCGGTCATTCTCCGCACATGCCTACGCAACTGCATAGATGACAGAGCGCAGTTCCTGTACGATTGGTTATCGTGTGCACGAAGCAAGCAAAACTGTGGTTTGAGAACATGTCACGTTAAGGTTACGAGTGACATAAAAGCAACGCGACAAGCCCGCTAGGCTCTCAGTGGAATGCGAGGGCTTGGAGGCTGATTTGCACGCACACTGAACCCCCAGAACAAAGCCATCGATCCCGACTCAAGTGGGCCCCACTTTAATTAGATGCATGCGGTCTGAGAATCCCCGTGGGTTCCTATCGTGGCGTCAGCTGTGCCTCCGGCTGGAATCTTTTATTACCGGAATCCGTTGAAATAATCTCCTCTGAAGCAGCTAACACTATAGTGAATGCTTACCAATGCACACCATTATCCCGTCCCGTGCGTAGCAGTTATTAAAATACTGTGATCACGGCAGTTGCGTTGTGGTGTTCGTAGGTATTCGTAATTATAAGGAGTCACAAGGTGTCATAGACCCACGCTATGATGAATGAAAATTCTGTTTTGCATACTAAGGATGGAACTACGAACGAATACCGGTGACCTGTTACAAAGCACAAACGTGTGCGTAGACAGTGTCTCCTATGCCCGTCGGCATCATATTAGTTGTCTCACATGTCGATAGACGACGGCTATAACGACTTGCAAAAGAAATAATATATGCGAATAACAACGCAGTGTCCAACCCAATACAAGTAGGAAAGTACACTGTTTTCATCATCTTGAATTTGGTAAACCACGCTGTCAAAGCTGGTGTGTACTGTGGTCCATGCTTTGTCCAACTGGGTGCAAAGCTGAACTATTACATGCAACAAGCGACAACTCAGTACTCATTGCCATTATGATTACTATCGCAGTATTCCCATTCACTAGAGCCAGCTGACAGCCACTAGAGTAGGTAAATAGAAGATTTGACTACAGCCGCGTCTGTTGAGTAAACTCATTTCTCAACCGGTTTGTGTGCTTCGGCTGTCTGGAAGTTGGATCGATTAAGCCACATTTGTTCGACAATGAGTATGAGAAACTAGCTGGGCCGCGGAGCAGACTACTGGACAAATTCTTTCCCTCTGGTTATGCTAACAACGGCGAGGACTATAAGAGGGAATGGAAGGTTGGCAACAACACGAAGACTTTGGCGTATCGAACTTAAGTTCAAACTACCACACAAATCATCCCGAAAAAAAGAATCATTGATTACGTGGAAAGGTACCTGAAGACGGCCGGTGACTTCGCAGTGCTAGTGTACTCGGACGGACAGCCCTGAAACTTTAGCATTGGGCATGTGTCCGCGTTATCAGCACACTTCGCTTCGCAGCCCCTACCGAACTCGACAGCCCGGAGTGTGATGATGGAGGTGAGTCAAATACTTTCCAAGCTTGATGGTACCAAGGCTGGTGGGCAGGAAGCACGCTACCCACCGATTCTCAAGTCTCTATCGAGCATCACCTCGCACGCTGTGGCGGATGTGTTTAACATGTCGCCGTCCGAAGTCTCATTGTCTAACAACTGAAAAGAGATAGGCGGTCAAGCGTCTTTCGAGAAGCGATGACCTCAGCAGTGGACAAAGACAGTTTGGTTGACAACTATTTCGGCCACGATTGTCGAGAAGTTAAGGAATATTAGCCTACTGCGGGTGTTTAAAGCGAAAGGTCTCCTGACTCTCGTACTGCATGGCTGCATGCCAGATCGTTCATGCATGAATAAGCTGATGGTGACAATGCGTAAATGCTTGCAAGCAGTAAATCCTCGATTTCAGCTAAACGCCCTATACGATGAATGATGAGGTCTTCTCCAATGGATGTGAATGTGTCTTGTTGTTGGCTCACTGCACCAGTGGATCCGTGCGTTGCTGGTTAAGCTAAAGGTGTACCAAACCAGTGATGTACTCCACGATGATGGGGCCAGCATTATTCCAAAGATATACAAAAGAGTTAACTTAACTCCGGTCACTTTATGGCCTGCTTGCAGGCGAGCTGAAGATTTGGAGAATATTTGCTGCCCCAAGTATATGCGGCAGCTAACGTTTTATTCATCTGCCACATGAAAGGTGCTGACTGCCGAAATTACATCATCGACGGCCAAGCGCTGCATCCCACGCTTTCAGGGAAGGTCCTGTGTGTTCTTTTGGGCTGCGATTTTTTCAGTACGCCGACAACACGAATAGGCTGCAACGAAATGGAGTGCGCATGCTCTAAGCGCTCAAACATAGCTTCTGTATTTGGTCTGAAGAAGTTGGCACTTGCCGCTTCTCCTGCATCATCTGCCTAATGCTAGGGTATGGCTCGTCCGCCCATTGCCCGGTCATCTGAGGAAGGCGCAGAAGATCGAACGGGCTCAGCGCGTCGCGGCCATTCTCGTCCCCAGTTTACAGGATTGACAATGTGAAGACAGATGCTAGAGACTGGAACTATTCATTCTGCTGTCTCGTCGGGTGAACGTCGACCTCCGCTTTACATACCGCAGTCTACCTCCACGTGACTTCCACAAGCTGAGGCCACTGCGTCACTTGCAAATACCCTACTTCACATGCGGTCACCGGCAGAAGATTGAGCCGCGAGGTTTGAAACAAGCTCCACATCGCCTGCACTTTGAATGGCGGGTCTTCTAATGTTTGCAACAGTTTGCCGGAACCTATAGAGGGGGAAAACTTCAGTGTCGCAGTTAAAAATTTCCGCTGCACTCCCAGATTCTGAGAACGACTACCCCTGACAATGATATCTCACGTTTGTGGGACACAAGTTACTATGAGTCATGCACTTTTGCGATATCATGTGGGCGTTTGAAAAAAAAACTATTTGAATGTTGACGGATATCAGATAGTTCGTCTTTTCAAAGCTGGATTTGGAGTCCCCGCAGTGTGGTCGGATTGCGACACGCAACCTCTATGGAGATCTCGATTCACGTTGAAGTAGACCTCAGCCATTCCGATCACAAAGATGGTATCCGAATTGGCGCTGGTTCGGTGTTTCTCTTCCTAACACTGACACCCCATAACCGGGTACCTCCCCGTTTGGACTCATCAGATGGAGATAGCTTGAGCTGTGGTGGAACTGGCGGCCTAGTGTTTAAAGGCTGACGTCTAGATCACTAAGTCACTACGATCCGTAAATACCGCTTGGCACAGCGGTAAGCAATTCAAAGTCATCATCACCATCATTATACACGTTAGGTAGAGGTGTGAAACACCTCAGCTACAGTGCCGCAATACATAAAAGAAAAAAGGAAATAAACGCAACAGCTGCATGCCAGCTGAGCAAATGATGGGCATCCTTCCGGTAAGCTAGTAGCGGGCTACTAGGCAACAAGAAAAATTATGATGTACACTTATATTATGCTACGAAATGAGATCATGCTTAGAGGGTGAGGTTAAAAGGGATGAGGAGGGACAAAGAAACACAGCAGGAACGCCAATGAGGTCGGCTCCTTGCCATGTCAGCAAGTGTATCTAGCCAAACGTGTTCACCGTCTTTGGACCCCAACCAGGGAGCCGTGACACTCCAACCGAGGCCAGCTCCGAAGTGAGGGCCTTCATTCCTCTCGACTAAGTCATCGCTTGGCCACCCCTCCTCTTCTTCCATCCACACCCCCCGGTGAGCAAACAACGCACGTCGCGGGAGTCGGTGAGCTGGCATGCGCAACACGTGGCCAAGCCATCGGAGTCCGGTGAGTGGAATGACGGTGCTGAGCGGTTCAGTACCTTTTCCTGTGCCGTAAACAAGGCGTCGAACACGTTTGTTGCTAACTCGGTGTTCCCACCAGATGTGAGCCAAACTGTGAAGAAACCGATGGTCGAATGTAACTAGCCTCTTTGTGTCTGCGGATCTTAGGGGCTAGGTTTCGCAACCGTACAGTAAGGTCGAACGTACCCCTGCCTTATACACTATACCCTTCAGGGCGAGAGTGATGTCGGACCGCCGCCATAGGTGGAGAAGGCAAGCAAAAGCACTTCGAGCTTTTGATATACGGTTGGTGATCGCGTTTTCTATCCAAAGGGTGCTGATACGACTTCCCTGGTAGCTGTATTTTTGAACGATTTCTAGCAGATCCCCACCAAGGGTCAGCGCAGGAGGTAGTCCAGTCCACTCTTGGAGGGATGCTTTGCACTTCGATGGTGCAAAGCAAAGCCCGAAGCGGCTGACAGCCAGCACTAATCTGTCCAGTGCAGCTTAACACGTCTGAGAGTTGTCACAGATGAGGGCAACGTCGTCTGCATATTCCAAGTTAAGAAGTCGTTCTCCTGGGGTAGTTCCACACCTTCTAAGTCGTATCTTGTGAACGCGATTTCCATGACTTCGTCAATAGCGAAGTTGAAGAGGAAAGGTGACAGCGGGCATCATTGACTCACACCGCTGGAGATATTGAAGGGCTAGGACAGCTTGCCGTAAGCCCTCACTCTGCCCGTGCTACGCGCGTATAATGACCGGATAATATTTACATATTTCTCAGCTACACCTTTCCTGATTAGAAAGTCCCAAAGTGCACGTCTATCCTCTGAACCGAATGCACCTTTGACATCGAGGAACACGATAACGGTGGGCTGCCAATATATGTGACGGTGCTCCAACAACTGAACCAAAGTGAAGATGTGGTCATTGCAGCCACGACACCGACGAAACCCGGCTTGTTCTTCACTAATATGGCTTTCACGAGTGCCAGCCAGTCTGTGAAGGATTACAAAGGCAAGCAATTTGGAGGCGATGGAGATTAGACTGATTCCTCTATGGTTACCGCATTCCGAACGCGAGCTTCCTTTGAAGACCGGAACATTAACCGAACAGCTCCAGTCGGTTGGGACAGTTTCCCTCTCCCACAGTTTCACTATTAATTCATGTAAATCATCAATAAGAGCAGCGCCTCCGAATTTGAAGAGGGTAGGATGAAGCTCATCTGATCCCGCGGCTTCGTTCAACTTCAACAGTGCGATCTCCCGTTCGACTTCTGAGCGGAACAGGACGATCACTGGTCGGTGAAGAATGGAATAATTACGGCCGATTAAATTGCTTTTCAAATTGCTCAGCCCACCACTCCAAACATGGTGACAGATCGTGGATAGGCTGTCCACTTTCGTCACGAATTGTTTCACTAACACCTGGTCTCCTGCTGCCCGTTTCCCGTATCAGACAGAATAACTTACGATGGTTACCAAGAGCAGCGGCCTCTTTCATCTCTGATGCGCGAAGAGATCATCAAGATTCGCGGTCTCTCTTCAGGCTAGCACGGAGTTTTGCCCGGATCTCTTTGCGACTTTCATTGTGTTCGCTTCCAACCGGAATATGCCCACCAGCATCGATAAGTTCCGGAGACCCCGAAGAGAACCAATGTCCATGTTGGCTAGTAGACTTACCACATGAGAATTTGCCTGCTGCTAGTAAGGTCTGGTGAACATGTAACCAGTGACCATCAATTGTCTCCAGTGAGCGCTTACTCAACTAGTATATCAGCTTACTTTGATAGGCAGTCAGAACAGCTGAATTCGTTAGTTGACTGGTAGGATTACTCGCCCTTTGTGTGTTTACCGCTGTGCTAAGTGTTGCTTACGGATCTTGGAGGCAGAATGATCAAGGCGTCAGGCTATCTCTATCTTATGAGTCCAAACGGGGACGAAACCGGTTACGTAGTCTAAGTGTTAGTTTGTCTTTTGTTTACATTTATTGGCTGCGCAGGTTTAAATATCTTAATCGCTCCCGAAATACAATATACAGTACTCAGAACAAGAGCACAACTACTGGCAACACTACGCTCAAATGTCATGGCAATTCTGCAGAAGCAATTTGCAGTTACAGGGGGTAACGTTTCTCTTAGCTTAGACGCGCACAACCGTACATCGGACCTACAGGCTGAATGATTTTTGATTATTTATTTAGTTCGTATCACACTAATTTGTACGCTGATCAGTTATGGGCGGTAACCACTACAGGACATTCCGGCTCAAATGTAGAAATAGTTGAATCATCTCCAGATGCACTTTCATTGGCACTCGGTTGCAGTGCGTCCAGCCACCTGAAACTGTCAATGAGGACGTTACAGGCAAGCACCTGAATTTTATAGCGAATTCATCCATCCACAATACATAAATTGGTGATTGCCCAACATGCAAAATAGCTAATTTTTACCGTAATGATACCACTGTTCCCTGTTCATCCACATGTAGGTGAAACTCATGATGAGCGTGGCTAGCAAGCAGTACGAGAGTTTGGTCCGTCGATTGAAAAGAGACGGTACCCTGTGGGAGGATCCAGACTTTCCTGCCAGCGACAGCTCAATTGACATACCGAACATGAGGGGAAAACTCGAATGGAAACGGCCCAAGGTTAGTTCATTTCTTGCACTTTTTGGTGAGCACATTAGCTGGGGGAATAATGCCAAGGCACTTGGTAATCAGCGTCATGGTAATGCTGCCTCAAGTAGTGGTGTCTGGTGGATTTTTATAGATGCGTTGTTTTACCGCGCTGTACCGCAATGAAGCTGTTGTGCTTATACTAAGCTCATGTTCGAACAAACTTTTCAAAAGCCATCTATATTCATCTAAAAGCAACGATAGTATAGTTTCCGGAAGATCAGTTTGATTTCCAAATATACGGATGAGGTGGTCGTGTTTGTACCTTTTAGCTCAGTTGTTAATTCTAGCGGTGAATATCACGTATTTTAGAGTGTGTGGGTTTTTGCTTTTCATCTCAACTATTTACTCTGCTTATGCAACCGACCGACGAAGTAATACAAGCTTACTCTATTGATTGGGCACTCGCAGCTGCTGTGAGTCGCGTTCAAGTAATTATATCGAGATACCCTTACTCATGAGCATATACTAATATACTGAAATAAATTGAAAGAGATTTGACATGGGGATGTACTTGCTGAAGTATATGGACTGAACAGCTAGGAGAATACCCCCAAATTGGTACTGAACGCTCATTGATATGCATCCCTACGAACACACTCACAAATGGTCAAAGTGTGTCATAAATCGATTCTGACGGTATATCTGATATGCTTGAGTAATATCGACCCGTTACTTTCGCGCGTGGTGTTAAATATCAATAGATGTCATGCATATACCCTTTAATACGTCCCAAGCATTTCTACTGAGTGACATGATTTAAATGATGCGAAATGAAGAGAAGTTTATGAATGTTACGACTTGTGTTGCCTGTTCTAGACAGAGACGCACAATCGAAACAGACAAGCAAAATCAACGGTTCACCCATTAGCTCTAATGGCAATAATTTCTAGATGACCACAAAATGACAATCAGTAAGGCTCGGAGTGAAATGGTATGCATGACACTACTAACGTAATTATATATTTAAGACCTTGTAATGGCAAGCTGATGGTGTTATAGCGGTGGTAAGAAAACTCCACCACTCCCCGTTGTTCTGTGAGTTTGCATCATTCACCAAGCTTGATTCTGCCTTCTTTTACGGTTCGCTGTATACGTTTTCTGTTGCCTTACATTTATGATTAGCTTGTATTGACACTGAAGCTTGTGCTTATTACCTTTAGTCTTACTCTGTGTATTTCGCCCGTTCCTGTGGTACAGTATCGTTCCTCCTCCCTTGAGTTGATCGTCCTTGATTGATCGAATATCAGCCTTTCTGCATGGCCTGTGCATATGCCATGCTTTGAATTATTCGGTTGATTCGTACTCAAGGAAGCTTGGCTGCCGATTCGGCACGCGGCAAGTAGCGTTGTATTGTACCCGGATTGACGTGCGTGTTCTCACTACCGTTAGCGGCGGAAGCAGTCGTGGGACCGACACAACAGCTGCACATGCCTCATGCGTCACAAAATAAAAATTACCAAGACCTAATGTCCATTACAATCAGGATACAGCGTAAAATCTTGTTGGTTAAATGAAAGGACTCTTGATATGCCATGTATTACTTGACACCTTTAAAAACAACATAAAGAGGACATAATGTTAGTGCAGAAAGCAAGTTCACAAGGGTCATTATCGCTTTCTGTCATTATCATCCGTTTGTACGCACAGGAAATTAACCCCAGCGCCCAATTCTTCGTTGGTGGTGTCAGCCGATTTGACATTGAACAGGGTTCCGTGGGTAAGTATTAACACTTACTCTGTGTAGGTTACTGAAACTGCTGAATTTTGTCTGAAGCACATGACTGATGAACTCTCGAGGACCATAAGAGCTACAGTTGAGGTTACTTTATATGTTTATATATGCATTATATATGAATATTTATATTGTGACTATGGTACAAGAGTTCCATTTCTTCAGCGTATTAACACAAAGCTATAGACTATGTGCAATGATTAGCAGCAAAGTAAGGGAGTGCTCTAAAGAAAGGAAAATAACAGACTTTAAGAAAGTGTTGTAAACTTGTTGGGACATTCAAATCGGCCGTTGCGTTTTCATTGAACATCATTTTGACTTTATCTATTGCGAATATATAAGGTTTGAAGGAATATTTTAATCTCATTTTTGCCCAAAGTGCTTCCAAAGTCACCAAGACAGTTGTACTCTCCACATTTTGAATACTAAGTCGAGACACCGCGTACTATTCGCGGGTTGTTGCTTTTGGCCACGAACTTCTAGTCCGGTTGAAAACAACTCTGAAGCAAAGTCTTCGTATAGCTTTAATCTCTCCGACGAAAATAACCCGAGGATTCTGTTTAGCAATTAGCGCTTATTGCTCAAGAATGTGGATCATTTTACTCCAGTGACATCAATGCATTCTTCACTTTTGTTTATCCGTTTATAGCATTTTGCAATTTTGATGATGTCACGTTGCTTCATTCATACTTGATACTGTGACGTGCTGAAAATGCACGCATGCGAGTGACGACTTGACTTGAAAGGTTCAGAGGAAAAATATTTTTTATGGTGACCCACTACTTTGTAACCTTTTCTCTAGAGGTTCGATGCCTTCTTAATATTAATGGCTGCTATTCCTGGCAGAACTGGCTGTGCAATTCTAGTTTAGGACATTACGTAAACATAATGATTATTTGTGTAGACCGCAGGTGCGCTTCCAAAGTCCAGCAAGTGACATGTGACTTGCTGATCTGACGGTGGTGCACTTGGGCACTTCTTTTGAAGTCCACTTCCAATGTAGTAGGTTTACAGTGGTTTGAACCAATTCCTTCACCTGCACCCACGCCGTCAATCGTACGGTTCTACCTGGTCTTAATACCACAACTTTCCTTATGGTATATTGATCGAGGTAGTTAAAAATGGCACTTCACTGCATTAGCCCATATGCGATGGAACGCTGTTACGTATTATCTGATGACATTTTTTGTATTATTTCATGATTTGTAACCCTACACGCACTTCGTCGGCCACGCGACAGTCAAAAAAGACTGTGTTACGTTTCGTGTTTACAGGTGACTGTTGGCTTCTCGCCGTGATTTCTTCAATTTCAAGCTATCCGCAACTATTCTATCAAGTCGTCCCACCAAATCAAGACATGCAGGGAGCTGGCTATGTCGGACTTTTCCGTGCGCGATTTTGGCGCTTCGGTCAGTGGGTGGAAGTGTTAGTGGATGATCGCCTCCCCGTCTACCGGGGCACTACTAGGCTCGCCTTTATGCAATCGGCGGATGACAGTGAATTTTGGTCCCCACTCCTCGAGAAAGCGTATGCAAAGTGAGTAACTGATGGAAATCCCTTGTTTAAGTCATGTTCACTCAAAACACGGACACGTTGGACCTGAATGCTTTTCTTTTTATGCTCTTAACTGTGCACCTTATTGAGCCACTTGGACTGTACTCGCAATGAACGACGGGTTTTGACTGTAAATCAGCTTTGCAACTAGTATGTGTTGCGCTGTTTTTCAGTCTATAACATTACCTGTCTTGTGTGAGGCCTCATCTTCTCATCTGCAAAGCATATGTTTACACTAAATTACTTCTGGCGCTTCATGTAGTGCTACTTGGAACAAACGTTTTCTCCAATCTCGTACTGCATGTGTACTGCGGAAGACGGTCACATAAATATCATTTGCAGCTGAAAGCCTACGTGGGTCAAATACATATGGATGCGGGAAAGGAGAACAAAACGATTGCAGAACTTGTTTGCCGATTTCCGACAATGCTCGTATGTGTGTACATCTTGTTGTGCAGCGTTTAACAGCATAAATATAAGTGCCTTAATATCACCCACCAATAAGAAAATGGAACAATGGGTTGCTACGGTTAAATCTATCACTGATTATCAAGTGCCGTAGGTTGATTGGAATGAGAAAAGCAAAATTAATCAAAATGGACAGCAAAATACGCCGTGCATCAGTAAATTAACCGTGATGAACACATGAAAACCAAGGATCTTATAATGATTTCATAGATAATCTTCACGAGCACACTTGTGCTCATGCTGTGCAATCGGGCAATGGACAAGGGTTGTGATACTAATGCTGAACCTTCAATGTGTTAGCTTGTCTTCTGATTGCAAATATGTATATTGTATGTATGCGTCTTCTCAAAATTTATTTCAGATGCTGATTTAGCGGAGAGTTATGTCGGTATATCCGTATTGTGGTTTCGATCCATTTTATTTGAGAATGTCACTTCAAGTGATTGGCTGCTGCTTGACATCCCTGGTGTGGCTGCGCATGATGTGCATGTTGCCAAGGTGCCTACTTGTCTAATACCCTCCACCTGGTTTATACTGGCTCCTGGAGACTGTTGGTCATTGCTGGAGGGGACGGGTTGCACGGTCCTCAGAGCTGTGCTAGGTTCGGATAGTGATTCCATTTAGTGTGAAGCGGACTACAGTCCAGCCACCGTCTTGTAAGCGCTTGATCCCCTTGTGAAGGAGTGTGGGCCGGCTCCGTTGATGAAACGTGGCTCTCATCCACCTACCTCCCAGTCTTATTTCTTCGGGTTACACTGGATATGGGGTGTGTGGTTGGAGTTGTGGGCTGTGAAGCGAAAGCCACTCATGCTCTCTCTGTCAGTTGCAGGCGTCCTGTGGCTTTCCAATGGAGGCCCCAGTGACAGGCAAATCCGGAACTCGATGCCGCCAACCAAATCAACATTCACATATATCTATAGCTTATGTACAAAGCTGCTGTGTTATTGGGGTATAAATACGAAAATGTAAAATGTATGTTTATCTTTGGGCGAGTCAGTAAACAAACTCTTGTTATGGTCACTGTTTCTTTACTGCATCGGGCGCAGTCGTGCGAAGTTATGCTATCTATCTCCAGTCTTAGCTCGCATGTGCGTTTGGCGATTAGGTCAGAAGTTATTTGGCTACTGTGGACGTGGGTCACTATCAGTGAAAAGCGTTTCATTTGTTCCGACTGGGAGTTAAGCAACTAGGCGTTAAACATAAACTTCCCCCGTCATGTAGGTTATTAAACTTGTGGACAGTGGCTGACCATGAGGTCACTACTTGCAGTACATAGTAGATTTGTACACAGTATTTGAGGGTTATTCACATTGTGATTGGCTTCTAGGTTTGGTGGTCAGACTAAATGGCTTGTGAGCTACTGTGGTAAAGACATTGTTCGTTCTAAACCCCATGTCTACCATTAATTTTTCGTTCCTTAGCTCCAAATATTCATTGCTGATAGCATTGCGCCCAAGCGACTGGGTTCCTCTTATATACATTTGCTGTAATTTTCCGCTTTTTGTTGGCTGACTGCTCCAAGTTTAATTACACTCGGCGTACATACGCCCCAAAACTCCTTTGCTTAACCGCACATCATAAGAATAATGATAGTAATAAGTTACTCGGTAGCGTCTAGACACCGTCCAGCGAACCGGATCATACCCGGTTCTACTACATTTTGTTGAGCTCAGAAATTTGTTATTGCCAGATCGTTCTTCCTGCCGTACTAACACAGAGCCCGCATTACGTTTGCCTCCCTTTGAACACCACCTTTTCCTGGCGAGTCCCTTGAATTGGCAGTTGCCTTTCCGCTGAACATCGTTTTTCACATTATCTTCCGTATACATCTCAGTTTTGCAAGACCAAGCTGACAGATATTTTGTTCAATCAACTTCTAAGGTCAATGAGACCCTCTAGTACATCCACTTTCGGATATATAAGTGAAATAGTGCGCACGATTCTTTATCTACTGTCTATGGACAAAACATTTTGTGTCAATTGAAACGAATTCTGAAGAAAAATGTTAATGAAAGCTTTTCCGCTTTGAACAGATATAAATCCAGAAGAGTTCGTTCAGTTTTTTTGGATAGTTACTCGATCAATCTATGACAGTGCATCCTCCTCATTTTTCTACTCATTTTTAAACTTGGCATTTTTTATGGTAACTCTTTGGTACATTTACAGTTGATAATGTAAACCGCTGAAAATGCATCCATCTGGATACATAAAGCTTATACTGATTTGGCTTGACTTGAACAAATAGGCCTGTCTAGCCACAGGTGGACCGTCTGCAGTGCTTTCTGATGCTGGAGACGTGTATTAATTGTGTCACTGATTCGGAAATCTGTCCCCACAGTCATATTTCCACACTCACCCTATGTGTTCCTTTAACCTGGCTCCGCGATGCTTCGGCACGCACTTTTAAATAGTGGTTTCTCCTGCCACCGAACTTGTTCACATGCTACAATGTCCAGCAATATTGTTGCCGACTGTTAGAGCCGATTTCCTTTCACACAGCTAGGATTAAATCGAGTCTACGGTGAAGAATGCCTTCCACACATGTTTGAAGTTTCCTAGTCTGCTGTCTTGCCAATACTGGCTCAGTGCATTGCAAGCTCCTTTTTGCCCACTGGTCTACATAACTATCCACTGACAATGACAAACTGCTTTAAATTTACAAGCTTCTTTAATGTACTCAGGACTAGTGTCTGGGCCTGTTCTCATGTGCGCTAATTTCCAATGGTCTTATTATAAGACGCACGTCACTGAAGCTTTGAAGCTGAGCTGTGTTGTAGCACTTCAATCGTCTGAACTGCATAACGTGAGTTCCGTATTCGAGCCACTGCTATCTCCCATTTGGGATCCTGGACAGTGTTCTGGAAAATGTGCAACCTCCTTGTCGTTGCACCTTGTTCGTCGCAACAGACTCCGACTTACGGATTAGCGATACTCTCGCCAGATTCGTTTGATCAATCATCAAGAAAATCATTATCATCTCCTACAGCATTAGATCAGCCATTTGAACTGACGCCTCGCCGCCTTACAGTCACAATGACCTATTGAACAAAGAAAAGTAAGAGGTAGAGATGGGAGACTTACCGGAAAAGCTTACTGTGGCCATTCGGTCACAAACAGTTGGCTATCGTAAAGGATAAGGCGGCATCAGCGACACAGCATCCTTACGGATTTCACTGCCACACGTCACAATCAACCATTACCCCACAGATAAACCAGCACCAAACACACTTTAAACGGGCACTCGGACTACGAAACGGCGGCCCCTGCACCACTGGTGCGGACTGCTAGTCATGTTCCGTAACGTCACAAGCCAAGCACAAGGCGAGTCACGCCTGGTAGGTGAGACGGACCGATAATACCGAGTCGGGTCGTCAGTGACTTCATTTCACACTGCCAAGTCAACTTTTGTCCACCTCAAGCATTTCCCCACTCTACATCTGGATGAGAAAGCACTGACGGAGTATACCTAGTATGGGGCCAAGCCAACGCAACTTATTCATTAGGATCTGTTGTTCTAAGGAACTAGCTTGGCTATCACTGCTTAGGACACCTAACCACATCCACGTTGCGGTCACGCTGGTGCCACGTGGCACCAGCAATGCTTCGCAGAGAGTGATGATAAAAGACTTGAAGGCGCCTCAGATCGAAGGAGCCATGTCTCACTACCATAGACTAGAACAGCCCTCACTGTGGCCTTGTATACACGTCCTTTCAGATGAATAAATACGCTTTTCTGTTGCCAAAGATGTTGTAGATACAAGAAGGCCGTTCTGGCCTTCGGACTACGTGAAACGACTTCAGTTGCTATGGGTCCATCGTTGCTTATGCAGCTGCCAAGGCAAGTGAGTTGGTGAACTACCTCTAGTTGCTCGTTAGAAGGTGTGAACGAGTCATCAAATGGCTGGTGTTCCTGCAGCGACACTTTGCACTTTGAAGGTGCGGAGCGCAAATCAAATCATGGGCACTTTAAACAGGTTATTTAGGGCTGACTCGGCTGCCACAATATCGTTAAACAGCTAGGTGATATTGCCCCATACTCAACATCAAGTAGCATTTCACTAGGCAACACCTTAAAGCATGCATTGTGAGATTCCGCAAGGGAGCACTCCATGACGGAGTAGAGAAGGAAACTGAACAAAAAGGGGGAAAACTGGGCATCCTTGCCGAAGGCCACTTATTATTGGAAGTGCATCCCATAAATCAACCTAGACCCTGACGCGACCTGTCCTGTTCGAGTATAGATCATGCAAAATGTTCACTTATTTCAAGGGAACGGCTTTCCGCGCAAGTATTACGAACAGAATGCATCGGTCAACTGAATCGACCGTACTCTTGAAGTCGAGGAACGCAGCTATTGTCGGCCTGCGGTACGCGTGGCGCTGCTGTAGCAACTGTCGCAGTGTGAATATATGGCCGATAGAGCCCCGTCTTCGGCGGAAACCTGCCTACTGTTCCCTAATCCGGGTTTCCCCTTCCGCAGTGAGGCGATGAAAGAAAATGAAGGCTAGTACTTT